TGCCCTCGCCCCTTCGGGGTAGGGGCGGCGTTGCCGTGTTCCCTCGGCACGGCTGTGAGCCCCAGGTCAAAAGCACCGGTGTTGTCAGCCTGCACTAATGCCACAGTGACTGTAAATCAGTTATCCCCAGAGTAATTATGTAATCTGCTTAGCAAATCACACCCTTACTTCACAAACGAGTGCCACAGATTTCTCTGAAACGGCCTAATTTGGTGGGCTTTTAAAACTGTTAACTGTAGTACGTTTGAGTTGCAAAATAGCGCTGGTCTCGTATGCTCATTTTGCTCTTGGGTTTCTTAACGTGTAGGAAGGAATGCAGGTTTGATCACAGCTTCCACTCGGACCACAATCTCTGTGTTCTAAAACAGCATGGACTTGAAAATTTAAACAGTGATGAACTTCGCCAGCTTCTCCTTCAAAATGACCCTTCCCTGTTACCAGAGGTGAGTAGTACAGTTTCTTAGCCTTGTGTTTCAGTGAGCAGCACAAGTGGGAGAGGCATGGTACTGGCTGGAGATGTTAGGTCTCGCTTTAGTTAGCAGAATGCGACTAAAACTTTAAACGTTGTGCAGGTTTTGACTGGGATAGAGTTATTTTTCCTCCTGGTAGCTGGTGCGGTGCTGTGTTTTGGATTTAGCATGAGAATAATGCGATAACACACTGATGTTTTGGCTGTTGTTAAGTAGTGCTTGTACTAAGTCAAGGACTTGTCAGCTTCCCGTGCTCTGCCAGCGAGGAGGTGCACAAGATGCCAGGAGGGAGCACAGCCAGGACTCCTGACCCAAACTGGGCAATGGGATATTCCATACATGACATTGTGCTCAGTATATAAACCAGGGCGAGTTGGCCATCAGAGCTGCGGTTCAGGAGCTGCCTGGGCATCAGTCAGTGGGTGGTGAGCAATTGTATTGTGCATCACTTGGTTTGTATATTCTTTTATCATCATTATATTTTGTTTTCTCTTCTCTTGCCGTCCTATTAAACCATCTTTATCTCAACCCATGAGTTTAATCTTTTTTTTGATTCCTTTTTCCTGATTCTCCTCCCCATCCAACCGGGGCAGAGGGAGTGAGAAGTGAGTGAGCGAGCAGCTGTGTGGTTGGTTGCCAGCTGGGGTTAAACCATGACAATCCACATCCTCTGTTCTTGTACAGCCCCTCACTCACTCCCCTCTCACCCGCCCCTAGCAGGACAGGTGGGAGAAAACAAGAACAAAAGGGACAAAACTTGTGGAAGGAGATAAAGACAGTTTAGCAAGTGAAGAGGAGAGGGGAGAAAACAAGTGTTGTAAAGGAAGTTAATCACTACCTCCCACAAGCAGACTGATGCCCAGCAGGTCTCTAAACGAGGCCACCTTGTAAAAAGGCATCCCCCCAGCCCCGGCCCCAGCCTTTTTGTGGTGGTTTGGTGGTGTTAAATTGTAAAGCAGGACATTACATGTCATGGAATATCCCTTTGGCCAGTTTGGGCTAGCTGTCCCAGCTGTGTGCTCTCTCAGCTTCTTGCCCACCCCACAGCCTACCTGGGGTGGGGGAGTTGGAGTGAAGAAAAAGAGGTGGCTTTGACACTGAGCAAGAATTGCTCAGCAGCAGCTGAAACACGTGTCTTATCAACATTGTTGCCGTCACAAGTCCAAAACACAGCACGTATGGTCTGCTATGAAGAAAATTAACTCCATCCCAGCCAGATCCAGCACTTCTTACCATCAAATTCTGTTCAAAAAAGTTCACTATTCCAAAACTAGAAAGCCAAGAGTTCAGGTAGTGACAGAATAAGGTCCACTATTCTACATTTATGTGAGTTAGAACAAAATCCCACCTGCTTGAGAATGTCTGTAAAGCAGTTGTTTGATGAAAGATCTTTGTAGACATTAGTAGGGAAAAGGAAGAATTTTCTTCTTCTTTTCAGAGTGATGACTTGATAGAAGAAACTTGTGTAAGTCTTGAATGCTAAAGTAAACACGAAGCTGTAAAAAATTAAAAATTGTGAATTAAAACAGTCTACACGTACACATTGTACTTTAAATTCTCTTTTTTTTTCCCCTCTACCCAAGGTCTGCTTGCATTATAACAAAGGTGATGGACCTTATGGATCTTGTACCTATAAAAAGATCTGCACCAAGCTGCATGTTTGCCAGTACTTTTTGTGGGGACAGTGCAGATTTGGCAGCCTCTGCAAGCGATCCCATAACTTACTGAAGTCAGAATGTTATGAGAAACTGGAGAGACAGGGAATGAGCTCAGAAATTATTGAGAAGCTACCCTCCATTTATAGGAATATGTATGACATAAAAAATGGCAACAGCAACATATATGACATAGAAGATGCCAAGTCTTCATGCAGAGGTAAATCATACCATCTTTTGAAAACATCAGAAGAAGAGTTGTTACAGTGAGTGTGACATTCTTGCAGATGTCATTAAGAAAAAGAAAGCTGAATTGACGTCTTGATGTGTCTTTTAGGAGGGACCTTGCACCTGTCTCATTGACAGTGATTTGTATCTTGACAAGTGGTTTCCGAGGCATTGCAGGTTCCTGAGAAATAAAGTGTTTGGTGTTTGTAAAAATCTTAAATTTGAGGCTAGAAAAGGATAACAGGAATTGGAAACAGGGAGATCTATACTTTTTTTTTCTTGGTAAAAATCATAAACCATGGTAGAAAGCTGGTTAAGAACAGGGGTGGCATATACTTCTGTGATTATAAACTACTTTTTCTATTTTTTTTCTTTAATGTAGTAATTGTCTAGCACAAGAATTCACAGACAGCAGTATTCTAGTTACTTCTCAGAGATGTAATATTTTGGTTGTTCTTTACTTTTGAAGTTCCTGAGAACGGTACTTTTTAAGTATAATTTAGCAGGGAAGAAAGAGGTAACAGAATGGAAAATCCAAGGATGTGTGTTCATCTCTGCTACTCTCCCTGTAGTTCCTTCTTCATTTCCTTAGGTGTGCTTTAACTTACAGCAAATTTTGAGACGTTGGATTTTATAGCTGCCAATGTGAACAGCTGTGTGGAATGCATGCTTAACTCAAGTCTGTCTAGAAATGCAAAGGCACTGGATTCTGCTCTTATTTTGTTGTGATAGCTCAAAACTGCATCTGAGGAATTTAGCAGTTACAGGAAAGTTAAGTTCAGAAAGTATGGATAAAGGGATAGGGCCTTCGATTATACAAGGTTATCAGACTTCAGTATCTTTCTGGAGCTCAATGCAGTTACGTAGTTATAAACACTGCTTTTAGGCATCTTACCTATCCATAGATGCAATTTTAAGAGGACTTGTTGAAACAAAGTGTATTAATAAGGTTTATAATTCTACCCTCTAGAGAGAAAACAGAGCTCTGGCCAAGTGTCCTCAACTACAAATGATGAGATGGAACAGATCTGTTTATATAATCTCTACAGAATTTGTGGCTTTAAAGGTAGGTCGAGACTGTCGCAAGTCCAGTCTATTTTCTCATAAGGAGAGGGTGATAGACGTCTTTCACAGACAGAGGAAACTTCAGAGCTTGTGCTTATCTTCAGTTAAATCTCACTGTAATCTTGCGTGCTGGTAGTCAAGTGTTTGACCTACCTGGTGTTCCAAACAAAGGAGCTGTTTTGTTTTACTCTGAAATGTATCACATCGGCCTGTGTTGAAGGTTGGCTACTCCACCTGTGTTCACCTAAGGAATTGCTAAATGATAGGAGTCCTGTTTCCAAATAGCTACAAAAGATACTCAGAATTCTACACTGGCTTGCTTCTTCTAGCACTCTTCTGTTCCGTCTGTCCGAGCTCTCTCCCTTTCAAAATGTTCCAGTCTGTCCAGGAAAAGGACTGCTGTGCCAGCTATCTTGTTGGGTGTCCTGTTGTCATCCTTCTCCTTCTTGACCTGTAGTAGCTCCCTGACATACTGCACGCTTTCTCCCAGGAACTGTGTGGTGCGGTCTCCTTGACTCTCCCTGTGTGAAGTTGCCCATTCCGCTCTGAGAGCTAGCCTCCCGTTTATGGGTATGTGCGCTGGTGAGGTGATCTCCACGCCGGGGAGGAGGGACTGCATACTCTCTCTTTGAAAGATTTCTGAGCTACGCCTGTGATACCTGGGCCACTGCTACCTCTACTCTTGTTTCTGGTGGGGGCTGGACACTTAGAGGTCTCTTGAGGTCTCTAAATGAGCTGCCTCCTATCCTAGAACTGAGCGTTGGTTGGTTGGTTTTTCCACAGTAACACTACTTGGGGACGAAGTGGTTAAGCATAGACACTTGTGTCTGCACTCTTCCTCTGTGTATGCAGTCATAGCCTCCTGTGAGCTTGTCATCTCCGTTCCTTGTAAACTTTTGCCTCTGAGAAGACCGAGTGGTCCTTCACCACTGAGCTCCTGCTAGCAGTTTTGATGCACAAAGAGAATCTCGTAGGTAGGGCAACTGAACTTCTGCCTAAGCTCAAAAACTAATTTTTGCTTGCTCGTGCTGAAAAATTCCCAACTACTGCTTGCAGTGATTCTGTAGGTGAACACTTCCCGTAGCTATGCGTTTGATACTTTCACCAGCTAGGTGTACAGCCCTGAAATGTTGGATTTTTTCCCTCATAGCCTGTAAAAATAATGCATCTCCTACTTTTTTTTTCCTAAACTTCTATAGACAAGTGCATCCGAACTCATTTTCACTTGCCATATAGATGGCAGATCTCTGATGGTAATACCTGGAAGGACTTGAGGAATATGGAAGAAATAGAAAAAGCGTATTGTGACCCAAATAACGCCAGGTATAAACTCTTAGAAAATCTAACAACGTTTGGAGTTTACTGTATTGGACCAGGCCCTTAGTGGCTATAAATTGCTACAATTCTGTTGTGGTCGTTACATAAGTAGCTTCATTCGATACTCTTCTACTTTGCCGGTCTGCTGTTGCTGGGGATCTGATCCACGGGGAGGTTCTTATCCTGGAGTATGTATAGGAACCCTCTGGGTTACCGTACTGGGTTTGGCTGGGATGGAGTTAACTTTCTTCGTGGCAGCCTGTATAGTGCTGTGTTCTGGATCTGTGATGGAAACAGTGCTGGTAATGCACTGGTGTTTTAGGTGTTGCTGAGCTTGCGCAGAGTCAAGGCTTTCTCTTTTTCCCCACTCTGCCTGGGGGTGGGCAAGGAGTTGGGAGAGAATCAGCCAGGAAAACTGACCAAAACTGACCAGAAGTTTCTATATCGTATAATGCTGTGCTCGACAAGAAAAACTGGGGCAGAGGAAGAGGAGAGTTGGGGTTTGGTTTCCAAGGTGGCTGCTGTTTGGAGGCTGGCTGGGCATTAGACTGCCTGTGGGAGGTGGCGAGTGATTTGGTTTTTTTCTTTATTTATTTGGGGTTTTTTGCTTTATTTATTTGTGTGGGGTTTTTTTTTAATTTGTTTGGGGGTTTTTTCTTTGCTTGTGTGGTTTTGCTTTGTTTATTTGTTTATTTACACACACACACCCCTTCACCTGTTGGACTACCTTTATATTGACACACAACTTTTCCTGCTTCAGCCCTTCTTATTTTCTACCCTCTGTCTTGCAGAGGAGGGGAGGTGGAGTGAGTGAGTGGCTGCGTGGGTACTCAGTTGCTGGCCAGGGTCAATCCACCACAGTTATTTTCTGTGACTGCCCTGTAGACTCTAGTATTCTTTGCTGTCTAAAATTATATGAATACTTTCCACTGCTGCTACTGGGTTTTAATCCTCACCAGGAATGGCTGGAAAACGGCAGAGTGGTGATTTTATCACAAGTACTTGTGGGAATCTGGTTTTGGTTAGAGCTTGTCAATACACAGCTTGATCCCATGATCAGAAGTAACGTCTTTGAGATGAAGGATGGAAAGGTAGAGACTTGCCCCTCTGACCACTGTTTTCCAGTCCATGTTGTAGAAGTGGTAGAATACCTTGTGTACCTGGAGAGATACTTTTGGGTGCAGAGAACCATCAAGAATCTGGAGGTAGCTTTAAGAGTTTGGAACTGGTTATGTAGCATGAAGAGGGTGTTGGAAAGGGCTCACACCAGTATGCTGTGTCCCATGCAGGAGAATTTAACAAAGTTGGGATTGTTGTGGAAACTGCAGGTTTGTGCTCTGCTTTTGAATGATGTTGACTTAATTTGCAAATTTGTGGTGTGCTTCTGAACCAATGTGCAAAGCTTCACAAACTGATTTTTCTTTTCTCCTTTTTTTTTTTAATAGATTCCATACTGCTGTTACTGAAAATGCCTCTGTCTTGTCATGTATCTGTTTTCTGAATATGAAGTGTGGGTTTGCAAAGGTCAGACGTCTTTCTACAGCCTCCTCTGTGACCAAACCCCCTCACTTCATTCTTACAACAGAATGGATCTGGTACTGGAAAGATGAATATGGCGAGTGGCAGGAGTATGGAAAAAAAGTAAGTGTGGAGAAATAGGGAGACTCTCAGCTGTGTTAAAAGTGCAGAAATACTGCAAAGTACACAGCGTTTGTATCCTCCCCCTCTTTTGTCCTGTCCCTCCCTCCTACACTGTACAGATGGACTCTAGAGGCCTAGTGGGATCTTTTCCCTGCAATCTTGATTGCGTCAGGTAGGGGAGCGCTCACTGCTGAGTCACAAGTACTATTGACAGATAATTCTTCAGTGAGTCATCTCAGACAGGATCACATCAGTACATTCTTCTCACGGTTCCTGACTCAAACTTCCGTTTCTGAGAAGTAGTACTTCGGTGCGCGCTTTGCTGAGGTCTGGTTGGTGAATGTGGGGCCTCGGTCGTAGCATTCGCTGCATGCCCTTTGCAGTGTAGGTTTAGGCTTCATGACACTGCTTGGTTTGTTTTAGGGGCAGTTTTGGCTGCTTAGCACATGGCTTTTGCCTGAGAGCCGCTGTCGTGCACAAAGGCTGATACATACCGCACCCACCATACCGTATGGCGGTTGTTGGTTTTTAAACTTGCCTGTGTGTAACAGGGCAGGAGAATCTTGTTTTCCTCTGGTTTTGTCCTGACAGGATGATGATCATGAAGCTGCCACTGTCTCCAGTGAAGACGTGGAGAAAGCTTATATAGACAAAGCTTCTCCAAAGCTGAACTTCAAAGCTGGAAGACACAAATACGAACTCAATTTTGAAGGTAGGTTCCATTTGCTTTGGGTTTTTTTTATTTTTGTTTTGGATGTCCCTCCCTCCCTGCTTCCTCCCAGGTCTTTTGTGGCTTTAAGCTATAGTACTGCAGGAGAGAGAAATCTGAACTTTGAACTGCGGTGCTTACAGAGACAGGGCCTCTACCAAAGCTCTCAGGATAAGAGCTATTCACATACAGTGGCATTCCAGTTCCTCCAAACCTTTTATTTTTTTGAAGTCCTGGTGCTAGGTTTTGAAATGTCTGCCAGCAAGTCCAAGTGTGACGTTGCCATCGATGCTAGCACCACCACAAGTGCAGAGAAACTTCCGGAAGACTTGGCAGGGCAGCTTCTGGTCTGCTATAATCACTGGCTTGCAGAGAAATGAATGCTTGGGTGAGGTGTAGGGTCCAGAAAAATCCTCAGCATTGCAAGATTTATGTAGCTGTTTTCTTTTCATAGCTCTGCCTGTCTGCAAAGGCTGAGGAAATGCCTTGACTATGTCAAAGTAGGAAGAAGTGTTTCCCAAGAGTTCAGGAAATTTCCGCCATTTGTGATAGCACTGTCCTCTCTGAGCTGTTGCCTTTCCAGGTATCCTTTTCAAAAATCATGGGGAACAGTGGTGGTGGGAATCAGGCTGCCTAGATTGTTGTTTGGTGTAGTTGGCTTTGATCCAACTCTCCTTTACTATCTCGTTCTGTGTGGGAGAAATCCAAGCAGGAAGGGCATGTGATACGCTCTTTGTGATTCAGCTGAAAGCAATGCTGTATAGGCTGGGGAAACTTGGGTCTTAGAAGGGAAACGTGCGTAGTAGATCAATCCCTTTTCTAAGGATTGGGCTTTCTGTGTAACTTAGGCAAGCATGTGTAGTGTACACGTGTTCCAAAACTTAGTTTCTAGGCTTGGTGGTGTCAAGAGGTTGGTTTGTTTGTTTCCTTGTGTATCTCTGTCTGAAGATGAGGCCTCGTTCTCCTAGCTGCTACTGACTCTTGGTTGCTAGTATGATGTGGTGGTAGCTACAGAGGTTCCAAGATCCAGGAAGAGTGCCTCTAACATCCAGGTTGTTGCAACTTGTTTCAGTTGGTGATTAATAAAAATAAATGGCCTGTGATAGCTGTTGGGTTGTGTTTATAGGGTTTGAAATCCACAGCTACATACAGAAAAAGGGTATCTTGACTGGAAATTGAGAAGGAGGGAATGCAATCCATGGAGCTAAAGTAGATACTTATTTTAAAAGGATCTGTTTTGGTTGTGTGGCAATGAAGGAAAAATAGCTACCAGTGTCTATCATTCCATCTACAGATAAGAGCAAAACTGAAGCAGAAATCCTTCTCGGTGATTTATACAGATAGACCATGGGTTCCACATCCTGCTCTGACTTCCCTTTGGATAGCAAGGAAAAAAGCTCGGTGCCTTTTTGTCAACATTTTTTGACAAAACAACTTAGTGGCAAGTTTTGCTGCACTGTGAAGGCTTTCTAAAACATCTTTCTCATTGTTCAGCATGTTGTTGTTGGTTTTCTTCCCCCCCAGCCATGATTCAGAAGAACCTTCGCTATGCAACAGAGAGAAAGATCTGCAGAAGACCTAAATTTGTCTCTCAGACTGAGGTAGAAAAGATAAGAGCCAGGTAAGCTGCAACTGCTCCTTCTGAGGTGATGGATTTAGAGCATTGTGAATGCAGTGTCTTCCAGGGGTGTGAATAAGTGAAGGAGTAGCTGTTAAGGCAGCTGTAAAAGCAACTGGAAGGGGAAGGGGCATGCCTTTGCTATAGTGTCTAGCCAGGGCAGTGTTGCTGCCTGGCCAACGGTTTTCAAGCAATGCAGGATCCTTGGGGTGAAGGAAGGTTGGGCTTGGCTACAGCAAGCGTGCGAGCACAGAAGATAATTCAACGTGTAGCAGCGTTGTAGGGAGCTGCTGATTAGCGGGAGCTATGTATTAGAGCAACTGATGCTGATGGAAGCAATAACATTCATGCATTCTGGCCCTTTCTGACATCTGAGGTTAGTAATTTTTGAAGCAAAATGCAAGAGAAGAACCAAGCTGAGAGAAAAGTAGTAGTTGTTACAGGTGGAAGCCTGCAAGAGGAGAAATTTTATGTAATTGCATGTAACGGCCAACTGTTTATGCATTCCCTTGCAGCACGAAGAGCTTGCTTCAGTGGCACAGAAGAGAGCAGCTAAACACACTAGTTAAAATTGGGGTGGAAGTGGAGGGAGAGGGCTGTATCTCTCCTGTTTCTGTCGTGCTGATATGATACTGGATGCATTTTTATTTACGTACCTCAGCGTAGCAGAGCTTTTATGTATACAGTCAACTCATTGCAACGAAGAGAACTGCTTTCATGCTTAGTTCAGTGCATATCTGTATTTTTTTCATTTGGCACCTTGCTTCCTGCCATAAGCCTTCACATGATGATTTAGAACAAGTAGTTTAATGTACTGAACTGAAAAGACAATTGTGAAGCATTCGTGAATATGTCCATTTGCCTACATTCTCCCTAAACTTGGCAGAAATGTTTAGGGTCATATGGACATAAAATGTAGGGATATGTTTTGTTTTAATTACCTATATGTAATGTCTTGTACAGGGGCTTTAAACACACAGAAGGGTTTAGAGGCATTCCAGCTCACTGGGACAAATCTGCCCTGCCTGAATGGGGATTCAAGGTTTGGAGCTTTTTGGTTTTTCTCTCCATCAGTTTTGTCACATACAGGTTTGTTACATCATCAGGTCAGTGTTTCTTGCACCTTTGTAGATGACTGTTTCTTATGTAGCACAGTGCAGAGGTGTTGGTAAATTTGAGACTTATATGACACTGGGCAGTCCTAGAGGTGAAACTAGACCCAAATTTAAAGTAACAAATGGTGGCAGTATAACCATGGCAACATTGAACTTGACTGCTACTCTCTATCCCTCTCCTTGGCAAATCTGCCTGCAGCTTATGCTGTATTAGCGAGAGTGCTGCTGGTGCCGGAGCCCCGTAGCTTTGAAGTCCAGCATGTGCTGAAACATCAGCGATAAATCACGCCTCCAAACTTCAGGGTAGCCGTTCCCTGAGCTGTGTATAATTGACTGTTGTATGTCTGCGGAGCATTGCTGAAATCGGCAGAGTTCAGGCCAGGATCACTTACTAAAATGTGCCATAACGCCTGTGGAGTGAACTGACACCCAGTTAATAGCTATCATCTGCATGGTTTACCTTTGCTGACTTCCTGCTTGCCTCCACCACCACCTCTGTCAACTCCAGTAACTACCTACAGAAAAGACCACCTTACGCGAAGCTTGCAAATTACTAACTTGCAAAATCCTCAAGAAATTGTCAGTAGGAAATAGGGAAGGCTAACACTGAAATTCTTGATGTTCCTACAGAAAACATGCAAGTAGAAAAGTTCTTGCTTTCGGGACTGTCATGTAATGAGTGGATTTTTGGCATTGTGTCCCTGCTCTTCCCAAAATGGAGTAAAGCCTTTTCCGTTTATTTAAAAACATAACAGGCAGTGCAGTTTGTGTTCACTGGCTGTAGGGAGTATAAACTGTAAGGATTTAAAAAGCATGGCTGTAGAGGTACTCTTTGATTTGCTGCAACATAAATTCTCCGTTCTCTTTATTTATGTTCTCATTTCTTCTACGTGTTTAGGTAGTTGGGTAGATGCACGCAAATGCATCTTGGCCCAGATACTGAAAGGGGCTGGGTGGCTGCACGAAAGCATGCAGCTCCTTTAATGTCATGGGAAAAAGCAGCCTGGGTGTCTGGAACCCCAGGAGTTAATGTCGCCTAAGTACGAGCTCACTTGTACAGAGCAGGGCTCTCTAATCTGCCTGTTTTCCAAGTGTATTTTTGCTGCTTGTACCTCTGCTTCACAGAAAAGACTAAAGGTCTGAGTAGTGCACTAGGTAGGGTGGCTTTGTTATGATTTAGTAAAAGACACAGCAGCTTTTTAATCTTTTCCTTACAGCTGATTGAGCTTGACAAGTCTTCTGAAGAATACAATAAAATCAAGGTGGACTTTCAACGCACAATGCCCAAAACGGTTATTAAAAGGATTCGCAGAGTTCAGAACCCATCTCTCTGGGAACTCTATCAATGGTATGTGTAAAATACTGCTCTGGTATGTGTGCACGAAGTCTGTTGTTTCTGCAGTTAGCCGTATGCTAAAGATAGACACTCGCATTCCTGAAATGCAGCTGCACTTTAGAATCTGCTTCCACTTCCCCGCTGAAATACGTAGCCAGGATCAACATGTAGATACAGAAGTACCGACAAAACCAAAATGCAGCCAAGACATGGAGCTTAGAATAGTCCGATGAGCTCTGTGGGAGGAATCCTTGCTCCAGAGTAGGTGGTTTGGGCCTTGGCTCGGCCTCTGGCCAGAACAGCTGCCTGCCACTGAAGCCTTGAAGCTGGTCATCAGTCACATCTGGCACAAATACTGGTTTTGTAGCTGGTCAGAAGTGTGACAGGCCTCAGAACTCGTTGAGGGAAAGCCTTAACATCAACTCTTGTGTTTAGGAAAAAAAACAGGTAGGATTGCTCCCCCTCTTCCCATCGGCAGTGCTGGAAACAAAACATTTTTATTATTAAATATCTGGAGGCATTTGTGTGTAACGAAAGCATGTTTGTACCCAGCCAGGCACCCTGTATGCCCAAAGTTTAGGCCTTAACGTGAGGATTTTCAGGATGTACTCTGAGTGCTGCTGCGGCTGGAACCTGTCTGGGTGCAGCCACTGTGGAACTGCCAAGGTGCTGCTTCTTACTGCAGGCAGAAGGAACAAATGCAGAAGAGAAATGGTGGAAAGGCTGCAGATGAGCGACTCTTGTTTCATGGGACCAGTAAAAAATATGTTGAAGCCATCTGTCAGCAAAACTTTGACTGGAGGATCTGTGGCCTTCATGGGACGGTCTACGGCAAAGGTGGTTTTTCAACTCCTTTCATTAACCCTAAACCTGCTAAAAATGTCTCGGTAGTTACTGCAGAGGTGGCAAGGTAGGAAGACGGCACTCAGCCATCTGGGGCTTGTCTCTGTGGTGATGTGGACAACACAGCTGACTTTGGCAATGGTCGTTTGGCACTAAGGCGTACTGAAAGGCCTTGGCTTCTGTGCTGCACTCTGTCCTTGCAGGAAAAGACAGGAGAGGCCACTTCGACAGATGGTTTCTCCTAGAGGCCAGGCTTACTTCTGTTCCAGTTTCTCCAAGCTCCTACAGGAAGGCAGTGTGGCACGATTTGTTGTATTTTTTTTCCAGGAATGTAAAAGCCATCCTGCTCACTTGCTTTTGGCCTGCTAACAAAGGGTACCCCTTTACGTTGTCCTTCGTACAGGGAAGGATCGGCATCCTGAGTGGGATAGCCAAGAGCGGGCTGATGCCTACCCGCCCATCCGACTGAGTATTTGTATCTCTCAGAAGGGTTCTAATGAATACCGGTAGGCTCTGGTAGGAGAGGAAGTTGGGTGCGATTGGGGAAGGTGGATGTCCAGGGTCAGAGGAAATCTCCTTGAGGAATATGATAACATTTCAAACACGATTTGTGTGGCTTTTGAGTATCTGTGCTGTTAAAAGCGTAGGTAACGTATAGGGGTCATTTTCACCAGTGAAGGCTTTGGAAAGGCTGTTCACCTTTTTTTTCACCATTCAAAGCTTAATGGCTTTGCTTATGAATTCACTTTCTTGCTGCATCACTTCCTTCCCTGCAGTTTTGGTGTCTTACCAACTCTGTCTTGGTGTCTCTTCTGCAGGAAGCTATTTTGCGAGGGATGCATCTTATTCCAACAACTACTGCAGGGAAGACTCAAACACCAAGACCATGTTTCTGGCACGGGTACTGGTGGGGGAGTTCACTCTTGGTAGTTCTTCGTATGTTCGGCCTCCCTTGAAGGACAACAAAAACTTCTACGACAGTTGTGTCAATTGCTATTTGCACCCTTCTATCTTTGTCATCTTTGAGAAACAGCAGATTTATCCAGAGTATCTCATAGAATACATTGACCACGCATTGGCAAAAATGCTATAGCAGCAAAGCCTGACAGCACTATGTTTGGCTGGTATAAGCATTTTTTTTTTAGCATTGGCTTAAGAGGGAAAAAGCGATTTTTAAAAGTTTTGTAATTGGGTGGGTGAGTATTTAGAAACACTCTCTATCCTTCATGTGTAATAGAAAATTAGAGGTGAAGACACAAAAGGCTGTCTTAGTATTCTTAAAATCCTGTCTGTCTCCTATTCTTTAGCAGGTACCATGTTTCCCTGCATTACTAGAGACACGTTTTTAGATTAATTCACTGATGGTTGTAACATGAGGATTGGCTATGACTGCCAAGTTTAAACAATACTGAGTTAGAATTGTTTCAGGATAGTTCTTTACACGTGCTCATTGGTCAGAGGCTGTCTCCTATTTATCTTTTAACTAAAAATTCGATAAAACCTCCCTTTTTTTTTTTTAATAATCATTTGTATCCTGTCGCAGTTGATATTCAGGTGTTTGTCAGTAAGGCTGTACAAACTCTCTCTGTGCTCAATTCATTGTATAAATTCTTAGCAGCACTGGGTTTTGTCCCTACTTAATCATCAGCAACGAAGCCTCAGATACTAAACTTGTTGAAAAGGAACAGAGTTATTTTCACATGTTAATTTTCTCATTTAAAACAAGTACCAAAGCCATGAAGCGAGGCTTGCTTGGTGCTGTGCTACTCAAACAGTTGATGCACTCTGTGAAATAAATGCTGTATTTTAGGTCTGTGAGTGCACAAGTTTTTCATGACTTTCAGCGTGCCTACAAATGAGTGCTGGCAGGTGTTGGGAGGAAGAAGAGGAGGCAACTCACCCTGTCGTGTAAGGATGTCCTGCTTAGGAGTGAAATACACTGCTTGATTCGCAATACCCTCTTTCTGTGGAGCACCTTTCTGGGTCTGTCACAGCTGCTGGGAAGGAGAGTGAGTGACTGTCTCATTAGGTGTACTTCCCCTCTGGTTGCAGGAGATACGCTGGTCCCCTGTGTATCCGTATAACCTTTGGACTTTCTTGCAGGAAAAACGTGCTTACCTGGGGAGTGGTCTTCAGCCCCAGAGCTGAAACCTTTAAAAATACAAAGATTGAGTTGAATATTTAATTGTTTCCAGCAAAAGATGTTACTGGTGTTGAGTAGTCACCGTACATATATGCAGATAACCAAAAAACTTGAACTATCACGCCTTTAAGATTAAAGTTACTGATGCACAGACAGATACTTTATCACAGCTTCGTTGCTCCTAAATGAGTTCTTGTTAGCTGCAGTCTGCTGCGGAAGCCTTAAGATTTACTTTGTATAGGACCAAAAAAAAAAGCTCATCTCTACCTGTGTTCCAGAAGCATTTCTTTTAAATTCGTCTGGATGATGACTGACAGGCGTACACTGGGCGATTCTTCGTTACTTCAGCACTGTGAGTGAGTGGCTTAGCTACGGTTAGCTGGAGTAGGGCTGCACAGAACTCCTTTTTGTAAGAAATGGCATGATATCGAGAGGAAAATGCTTTTATTTGTGTTTAAACCCAGTAAAGCACAGGATGTGGAAAAGCAAGAACATAACCAGTACCAGATAAGAACTGGTATAGCTAAAAGTCATGTTAATCTTCTGCCAGAAAATTAAATGAGCATTTTTTTTCATGCAGAGGTATTTTTTAATAACATTTTTGATGTCTAGTAGTATTTTTAAAATTTAATTCTTAATGGGGGGGTGTGCGTGTGTGCGCATGTGTGTATGTAATAACTGGAATAAAATGACTGGTTGTGTTACTTTTGTCATCTGTTATTTCTCTGTTAACACTCAAAAAAGAAAAAGTACCATGTTTTCCACTTTTGAAACTGCAGTGGTAACTTCCCTGTGTGTAGTTGTGCTGGTTTGGGCTGGGACAGAGTTAATTTTCTTCTCAGTAGCTGGTATGTGGTTTGGATTTGGACTGGAAGCAGTGTTGATAACACAGGGATGTTTCAGTTACTGCTGAGCAGTGCTTACCCAGAGTCAAGGCCTTTTCTGCTCCTCACCCCACTCCACCAGAGAGTGAACTGGGGGTGCACAAGGAGTTGGGAGGGGACAGAGCTGGGACAGCTGACCCCCACTGACCAAAGGGATATTCCACACCATGTGACATCATGCTCAGCATGTAAAGCTGGGGGAAGAGGAAGGTTTGGGGGATGGAGTGATAGCATTTGTCTTCCCAAGTAACTGTTACGCCTGATGGAGCCCGGCTTTCCTGGAGACGGCTGAACACCTGCCTGACCATGGGAAGTGGTAAATGGATTCCTTGTTTTGCTTTACTTGCACCTGTGCCTTTGGCTTTACCTATTGAACTGTCTTTATCTTAGCCCATGAGTTTTCCCACATTTACCCTTCCGATTCTCTTCTGCCATCTCACCAGTGGGGAGTGAGCAAGCGGCCGTGGGGTGCTTGGTTGCCAGTGTGGGTTAAACTACAACAGTCCCTTTGGTGCCTGGTGTGAGGCTTGAAGGTTTCAAGGTGACACTGGGTTTGATTGGAATGTGCTAGATGATCGAATTTATAGCTGTTGTTGCTGTTTAGCTATTAATGGGTAGGCTCCTGTGCCTGCTGTGGGGCGGGCTTGCCTCACTGTATGTTAGACTGGTGCTCGTTAGTGGCTGCATTTGGCTTGCGCCGCTCGCTGTAGCGCTGTGTCTGTCGCTCTGCCCTGCTCTGACTGCTGTGCCTGGGAATGCTTTGGTAACAGCAGTGGCTGTGCGCCTGGGCGGGCAGACGGCCCAGGCATCGCTTGCTGTTCCTGTGCTGCTGCGCTGCAGCTCCAGCGCGAGCTCGAGTCAAAGGGCCTGTGCCCTGTGGGCGAGT